ACATGAAACACACTAAAATACTACTACAGAATCTATGGTCAATGAGTCGATTCCACATAGGGTTTCCGAGACTGTGAATTTGTACAGAGCAGCAGGTGAAGTTTGAACTGCCAATCTCGAGGCTAACAGCCAACAGCTTATCCCAGAACGTATGGTCAAGATGGCTCGTTGCTGCTCTTGGGCACCATAGTCAGTCCCAACCAATGCACAACGAAGAACATGCCCCGCCCTGTGCCACCCTCACCACTGTGCCCATGCTTGGGCCCAAGTGGCAGCCATGGTGTCAATCCATCTCCTTGAGGGCCTCCCTCTTTCGCTGCCCCTTTACCCAACATGATGTCCTTCTCCAGGGACTGGTCTCTTCCTCTCTCTGAAGATGGTTTGCCATTCCTTAAAATTTTCTTTTTTGACCTGTCATACCAATCTCAGCCACCCGTACACTAGCTTTGTTGGCTGATAAAATAGTATGGCTGATACTATATAGTATTTTATACTATAAAATAGTATAAAATAGTTGGCTGATAAAATAGCAGTATGAAATATGAAGCACTTCTTCAGTATCATTAAACACAGAGCCTCATAATCATATGGAAGGCAACTAATGCACCCCCTTGTGGTTAGCACAGAGCAATGCAGATATCAAAGTCGATCATTTAATACATGAACGGGCCCTTGGTAGTAATAGTGGGTTATGCATTGGGCTGCTACCTGCAAAGTCAGCGGTTCAAAATCACCAGATGCTTCAAAGAAGAAAGATAAGATCGTCTGCTCCTGTAAAGATTTACAGCCTCAGAAACCTAAAGCGGCAGTTGTTAGATGCCATTGGGGTGGTTCCGACTCTTGTGACCCTATGTACAATAGGGCGAGGCACTGCCCGGCCCTGCGCACCCTCACAACCATTGTCATGTTGAGCCCGTCCTTGCAGCCAATCCATCTTGTCAAGGGACTTCCTCTCTTTCACTGCCCCTTCACTTGATTCAGCATGAGGTCCTTTACCAGGGACTGGTCTCTCCTGATACCATGGCCAAGTCTCCCATCCTTGCTTGTACTTCCCTCAGGGTTTGTGTGTGTGGGTGTGGTGTGTGTTTGTTTTGACCATCCAAAGAACTTCCAATGCCCTTCGCCAGCACCCCAATTCAGATGCAGCTCTGTCCTGCCCTACACGGTTGCTAGAGTCAGAACTGACGTGACTGAAGGAGCCTGGGTGGCACAAAGTTAAGCTCTTGGCTGTGAATCAAAAGACAGGCCTCTTAACCCCACCAGCTACGTCACAGAACACAGATGTGGTTGTCTGTGTCCATAAGGACTTACAGCCTTTGGACCACTCTATGCTACAGGGTCGTGCTGGGTCCAAATCAACTTGGTCACAATGGGTTTAAATTAGGCTTATAATATACTTGCTCATCCCTTCCTTGATAAGGCAACTCTAGCTTACATTTGGAGCTAAAAACATCAAAATAAAAGATGCAAACTACCAAATAAAGTACTATGATAAGAACAAATTTCCTGTGGCGAAGAAAGCTGATGGTGCCCGGCTATCAAAAAGTATAGCGTCTGGGGTCTTAAAGGCTTGAAGGTAATCAAGCGGCCATCAAGCTCAG